CTGATCTCCTTAGCCTGGCAAATAAAGCAAATAAAGTCACCTACATTCTGACCCCATCTACCTTCTTTGTCTCAGCCACCTGACACTCTATACTAGCCACAGTGAATAGTAATAGCAACAACAGCTATTATTTACACTGCCAGGAAGTGTCCTAAGAACTTTACACATATTAGCTCTAGTAGAGAAACACTGAATGTCTTGTACTTCCAGAATGGACTAGATCCTTTCGCCTTTATATCTTTGCTCCTGTGGTTTTCTTGTCCTGGTTTCCAGCCATCCTGCCAGCCATGTGATACATATTCATTGATCATCACCTTGTGCCAGGCACTATAGCAAGTACCAGGGATACAAACACGAGTGAGATACAGTACCTGCCCTCAGTGCATAGTCTAATGCAGCTAACAGGCACACGAAGGGTCAATAAGGTAAGTGCAGTGACAGAGATGTGATGGGGGCACAGAGAATAAGCCCTAATCTAGCCTGGGGCCTGCCCTATGTGGCTAGTGGGAGCTCTCCCCCTCCAGGAAGCCTTCCTGACTTTACCAGGCTGGGTGAGGGCCCTCTTCTGTGCCCCTCAAGTTCCTTCTCTGCCCACATCACATACTGACCACACTATACAGGGAGTGTCTGCATGGCTGTCCCCTCCTGAGCACAGTGAAGGCAGAGAACAGTTGGACTGACCATTACTCACCTAGCACCCAGGGCAGCCTGGACACAGAGACTTCGGATTTGCTGAATGCAAGTGCTTGAGGAACGAAGAGTAACAAAGAGGGACATCCTCCTCCTGGATTGTTCCCTGATGCTCTCCCCAGAGTCAGGCCTGCTTGTTTCCTTTCCTGGGCCTGGCTCAGGCCCCTCAGCCCAAAGGGCACCTCACAGAGGTTAGGCCCTTCAGGTAAGGCTGGGACTGATGCTTTCATACCTAGTGTAGGAACAGATTGGTTAGAAAGGCCACACTAACTAGCTTGGAGCTGTTTGCCCCAGGCTACTGAGGAAGGAGCAGTGCCCTGGGCAGCTCTAGTCTCGAGGGTAGGAGGGAGGAGGTCCGCAGGACCGCTGGATGGCAGGGGTGGGGTGAGGGTGTCTGAGTGGTCTCTGGTCCCTGAGGCCTTTCTGCAGCCTCTAGGCTATGGGATCCGTGATGGAGGACTTTAGGAATAAATGACTCTAGAGTGGTCTCAAATTAGAGGTATTTGAGTAATATTCCAGGAAGCCCTGTGAGGTCTGGTGACAGCTCAGGCTGGTCCCCTTGGACCTTTATTGTGTTAACATAGTTCTTTTTCCCTGGAGCTCTGGAGGGACAATCATGAGGCTCTCTTAGAGGAGCTGTGAATCTCAAGGCAAGGGCCTGCAATGACTTTTAGCCTCAGCCCCCTCTCCCCGGCAGTGTGGTTGGGAAGCTCTGGCCCCCACCCTCTATTCCTTGACTTGAAGCCCATCTTGGCTCATGGTGCCTCTGTAGAGGTGGGACTGTTGGCAGGGAGCCTTGGGGCTGATGCTAACAGCTTTGGACAGGGTGGGAATTTCCACTCCTATCTAGGGAGCCATCAACACTGTGTGCCCTGACCTGGGCCTTTGGCCTCCAAAGGGCAGTGGGAAGGCCGGCCCCAGGGCCAATCCCTGGCCATTAATCCCTCCTGCCAGCCTGAATATCCACCCAGCATGGTCAGACAAAGGACTGCCCAGCCCAGCCACTGTGTTCCTCCCGCCCCAGGGGCTCCACTCAGACGCTGGGCCGCCTGGAATCCAGGCCCATGAGAAAGGGGCTGCCTTCACTGGCCATCTTATGTCCGGATGCTCAGCCGCGTCCCGTCCAGCCCAGGGCCTGTGAAAAGAGGGCCCAGCCACGCTGAAAACACGGATTAGCCCTTGGGCCACCCCTTGACACCGGCCTGCTTAGCTCCGGGAAGCAGGCCCAACAGAGGGGGGCCAGGCAGGCATAGAGAACTGGAAAAGTCTGGGTTCTCACCCCTTTGGCCCAGCTCCCTGCTCCCACCCTCCCCAGGATTAGTATAGCCAACCGTGAAATAGGTATCATTTATTGAACATATACTATGTCCCAGGCTCTGTGCATGGACTGGAAAAGTAGAAGTACAAGGAAATTGGGGTCGGCCATGGGAGCTAATAAGAGCCACTCTCCACACCTCCTCAGATCTGGAGGTATGAGACAGAGGCTGTGGCAGGGGACTTTGAAGGGGGTGCCAGGCCTAAGGGAAGATGGTGGCTCTAGTTCTGTGCCTGAGTCTAGATGCAGGATTATGTTGTACCTAGTTGAAAATAGGTAGGCTCAGAAACCAAACCACTTCTCTGACTCTGCCTCTCCCTCTCCTTCCCTACCTGGTCTAATATTGGAAATGCCAGTTATGTAGTAGAAAAAAAATCCATTACCAAGTGCCAGTGTGAGCCTGGCACTTTCCTACATGATGCATTTGAATCTCATTACAATGCTGACAGGGTTCATTATTCCCCCATTTGGCAGGTGAGAAAACCAAGGCTCAAATAAGCAACTGGCTGCAGGTCACTTAGCTTTGCAGCTAGAGTCCCTGCTGCAGCAGTTGCCTGTCTTGTCCTCTCCTCTGGTGCTCACCAAAAGAAGGCAAGGTGGAGAGGGTACAGAGGTGGGACCTATTTGTGGATAAACCAGTCCAACTCCTCACTGTTACGGGGTGCAAGGATGTCTCTAGATTTCCAAGTATCATTCTCTCTGCTTTTGCAGCCCCCTCTGCCCACCGTCTCATAGTTGTTATTGTCCAAGTGTCCATCTCTCCATGTGATTGCAAGTCTCTTTTTTGCCATCTTCCCTACTCACTGACAGAGGGCCTCGCACTGAAGTGCTCAGTGGATGATAGTGAAATTGAGGCCAGGAGAACTGGAAGAGGAGAACTTTGGAATCCATGGGGAGTTGGTAGGACTTGAAGATTGCTTGATGTGGGGAGTGATGGGGAGGAAGGAGCCCAAGGTGATGTCCACATTTCTGATCTGGTGAGGGACAAAGGGTCCCTTTGCTGAGATGTGGAATGCAGGAAGGGGGGCAGGTCAGGGTTGTGGGGGTGGTAAGGTTGAGGGTGATATCCAATGGACACTTGAATATGCTAACCTGGAGGTTAGGAGAGATGCTAGGTATCAATTTTGCAGCTGAAGTTGTGAGAACTAGAACTCTAGAGTAAAATTATAGTCCCAGCTTTAAAATATGGTGTTCTTAGAAGAGTCACGGGACTGGTGTTCTGAACTCTGGGTTTAATTCCAGCCCTACCATTTGACTAGCTGTGTGAAATTATGTAGGTCACATAACCTCTCAGAGCCTTAGCTTCCTCATCTGCAAAACAGGGGTAATCACAGTACCTACCTCAGAAGTTGTTCATGCTGAAGACAGATAATGCATCTGAAGTGTTTGTCACATACAAAATGCTCAGTAATGTGGCTGTTGTATTATCACCTAAGACTAGAGCTGGAAGATTGGGGCCCTTGAGTTTCGAGTTTGGATTTGGAAGCCCTAGGCCCCAGGCCCGCTGTAGTTAGCTTTGGTCATCTGTACCTAGAAGCATGTCACATCAGGGCCAGAACTGGGATGAGGCACTTGGGACCCGAAATTAAAGGAGGCCCCAGCTTTCAAGTGCTGACCACTGCACTTGTGCCACCTTGAGAGTGAGTGCCCCCTTAAAATGTACATCTTAGATGCTTCACTTGCCTCACCTAACCCCAGCCCTGCTGCCTTCATCTTGCCTGCCCCCAAGGCAAGCCTCTTTCAGACAAGCCTCATCTGGATGGTGGTGGTGGTTGGTGTTTCCCACAGTGAGTTTTTAATAAAAACTGTGAAGACACCCCCACCCCAGCCCCAGTGCCATGTGAACCTGGCATTTCTGGGTCAGTAAGCAGCTCTTTCAGACTTCCAGTCTGTGGAAGCACTTGGGGGTCTCTCTCTGACCCAGTAACTGGTCCCTGGAACTTCCAGTTATGCAGGTCGGCTTTGTGCATCTCCCCAGTGCACACGCTGTGTGTGTGTGTGTGTGTGTGTGTGTGTGTGAGAGAGAGAGAGAGAGAGAGGGAGGGAGGGAGGGAGGGAGAGAGAGGGAGAGCGAGAGAGGAAGAGAGAGGGAGAGAGAGGGAGAGAGAGAAAGGGAGCCCTTTTTCTAGAACAGAAGGGGCACAGAGAAGAGGCAGCCAGAAAGACAGCTCTGAGTTACAGATTTTCCAGGGGCTCTTGATGTAAAGCTGTCAGTCCTCTGGCTCCCAAATCTGCAGTTGGACTACTTTTCATAATTTTGTTTTTTCAAAGGATGCTCACAGTGGCCTGGACATGATAGGGAGTGGGGAGGTAACAGAGAGAGGAAATAGTGGCCCTGGCGCCACCAAACATCCTTCCCTAAGACAAAGCCAGCCTCCTTGTTCTGCCTGTCCCCCCAGATACCCTTCTCATGTCCAAGAGTGGGCCTGACACCTTCCTGACCAGTACAGCCATGGGAAGCTGAGGGCTGGCAAGGTGGCCCTCGGTGGCTCTCAACTCTGTCTCATCTTTGTGGTTGGAAGGACTGGGAAGAGACTAGGAAGAATGGAGAGGACAGGACTCAGCTGGGATAAACAAAATGGGCGAGTGGTGGTGCAGAAAGTGAAGTTATAGTCCCAGAATGGGTGGATTTGTGGTTGGCATTGACCCAAGGGGGAGAAGCCGAGGGAGTGGTGGAGAGGGGAGGGCACTGATCAGGTCAGGTGGGATGGAGCCAGGACGGACCCAGTGAAGATAGGGAAGGGATAGGGCTATGTCTGGGGAAGACTAACCCCAAGGGCTGAGAGCAGGGAGGGGCGAAATGTAGGGGGGAACTGTGAGCATAGTAGGGGGATTCGGAAAGCAAATTAGGGGGAAGGCGCTGGCCAGCGAGGAAGGTCGAGCCCTCTCCCTTGGTTGGGGAGGCGGGGGAGGGGAGCTGTGTTTATATAAAGCAGGTCAGCGGCCCCTGCCCTCTCCGAGGCGCCTGGGCAGGGGCTGCAGCATCCCGTTGACAGGGCGCGGCGACATGGAGCCGCCCGCTGCTTTCTCCGGCTTCCCGGCCCCGCCCTTGGTCGTGCCGTCGGGGCCGCCGCCGTCCCCGCTTGCCGGAGCTGAGCCAGGGCCGGAGCCCGAGGAGGCGGTCGCGGGCCGCGGGGAGCCGGAGCCCGCGCCCGCGCCCGGCCCCGGACGGCGGCGGCGGCGGCCCCTGCAGCGCGGGAAGCCGCCCTACTCGTACATCGCGCTCATCGCCATGGCGCTGGCGCACGCCCCGGGCCGCCGCCTCACGCTGGCCGCCATCTACCGCTTCATCACCGAGCGCTTCGCCTTCTACCGCGACAGCCCGCGCAAGTGGCAGAACAGCATCCGCCACAACCTCACGCTCAACGACTGCTTCGTCAAGGTGCCCCGCGAGCCGGGCAACCCGGGCAAGGGCAACTACTGGACGCTCGACCCGGCGGCCGCCGACATGTTCGACAACGGCAGCTTCCTGCGGCGCCGCAAGCGCTTCAAGCGCGCCGAGCTGCCCGCGCTCCCGGCCGCGCCGCCCGGGCCCGCCGCCGGCCCGCCGTCCTTCCCCTACGCGCCCTACAGGCCCGGCCCCGGGCTGCTCGCGCCGCCGCCCCCCGCCGACCCGGGCCCCTCGCCGCCCGCGCGCCTCTTCAGCGTCGACAGCCTGGTGAGCCTGCAGCCCGAGCTGGCGGGGCTGATGGCCCCCGAGCCGCCCTGCTGCGCCGCGCCCGACGCCAGCGCCGCCTTCCCGCGTTGCCCGGCCGCCGCACCCCCGCCGCTCTACTCGCAGGCCCCCGAGCGCCTGGGGCTGCCCCCGGCGCTGCCCGGGCCCGGCCCCGGCCCGCTTGCCGCTGAGCCTCTGCTGGCCTTGGCGGGGCCGGCAGCCGCGCTCGGCCCGCTCAGCCCCGGGGACGCCTACCTGCGGCAGCCGGCCTACGCGCCGGGCCTGGAGCGCTACCTGTGAGCCCCTTCGCCACCGGCCGGAGCAGCCTGAGGGCCCCTCTCCCGCAGGACTGGGGCACTGCCTGTGAACGCCCCCTCGCTCTGCCCTCTTGGCTCGGAGAACTGCTCTGAGCTCCCTATTTCTGCCTCTTGGATTGAGCACACCTGTTTCATCTTTGTTCCCCATCTCTGGGGAGACTCCCACCATATCTTCACAGGACTGAGCCCCCGACCCCTACCCGGGTTTGTGAGCCCCTTATTTCTTCTCCGTCCCAGTCTGTGCACTCTGCCAGCGCTGTTAGGGGTCCCATGTCTGGGAGCTGGGTTACCACCAATGAGCCCCAATCCCAGGTTGCTGGTGCATTCCAAGCCCTGGGAAGCCGGACTGAGATCTCAAGCCACCTCCTCTACTGGTTCCTTATTTCTTCAACCTTTCCTCGTGTTCTTACAACTTATTAGAAGGGGTCAGACTCCCAGGCTCATGACTCTCTTGCTGTCTTCCCTTCATTTCCCAGCAGGTTTGTCCCTCCCATCCCCACCCAGCTGAGGCAATTTCTTACTGGGAAAGAACTCTCTAGACACACTGGTAGTGCTGCTCCAGACCCTGAGGACAATTCGAGATTTCTGAGACAAGCAGCACCAGGAACTCCTGACTGAAAGGGGAGTTAGTGGGCTGCCCATTATCTGGATAACTTAGAACTTACTAGGTTGTTATTTTTTTAAATTAAAGCTGGTTTAATTAAAAAGAAAGAAGAAACCTGCTGGGCTTGGTGTGCTGGCTGGTGACTTATGAGCGTGGTCTGGGGAGATCATGGGTGAGCTTTGTTCAAAATCTTGGGTTGCCATAGCAGGTGAGAGCCCCCTCGTGACTTATCAGACAAAGGTTCATGAAGTAGAATTTGGATGGATTTAAGTCATAGCTGTGTATATAGTATGTCTAGTAAAATACTGTCACCTGCTGTATCCCAGAGGCTGGTGGATAAGAGATGGGGTGTGCACATGAGTGCATTTGGTCAGTGGATTTGTCTACTGTGTGGGATTGATCCCAGTTCACATGGATAAGGGAGCATTGGCCATACCTCCAACGAGTGCTTATTGAATGTACCAAGCACTGTATTAGGCACTGGGAATACATCACTAAATAAATGGGCCAGATCCCTGCCTTATGGAGCTTATGGATCCTTGGGGAAGACACATTACCAATCAGTATTCAGGGAAGTGAGATATGTGCTCTAGAGCCTTGAGTACTCTAGCTGTGGTCCACAGACCTTCAGCATCACCTGAGAACTTGTTAGAAATGCAGACCCTCAGGGTCTACCTCATACTCACTGAAGCATTAGGTTCTGCATTTTAACAAAATTCCCAGGTGGTAAGTATGCATAGTATTCTGGAGGAAAGGCACTGGGCCAAGGCTTGGGGCTCAGTTTTAAAGGCCAAAGCTCCTTACTTTAAGGAGTAGGACCAGGCTGTAGAACCACACATCTCCCGCCAAAATTCTGGTACTGGACTCCGCACCAATACCTTTGCCTCCTGTCTTACCTCCCTTGCTGGATTGGGAGCTGGGGCAGCAGGGACCTGAGCTGATTCCTGATTGTCCCCAGCACCAAGGACAGGGCAGCACTGAGCCCACTCAGAGGTTGTTGGTATGAGGGAGGGAGTTGGTCTTTGACCCTGTCCTGCTCTCTGGTGCTCACCCAAATGTTAAGCATCAGGCTTGTCCAAGCTGCTCTGCCCCAGGGCTCCCAGTCTAATAGGCCTGGATTAGGTGTGGAGAAGGTTGGGGAGGGGATCAGTGTGCCTTGGGCCCAGATAAACGGTGAGTTGCAAGTTGGATGTGCCTGATGCACCTCTCTTAGAGACAGGAGTTTAAAGCTCTGGGGTGGTGATGGCTGTTGAGGGTGGAGAGTAGGCAGCTCAGAGAGGTGAAGGTGCAGGAAATCTGAGAGGGCAGTGAAGGCTCTCTTTGGAGGCAGGAAGGTGAGTATGCATAGGCTGTTATAAAATGCACTGGATTGGCCCCTCCCTCAGCTCTTAACCCCTTTGAGCAAAAATCATATATAATTTCCCTGCTGCATAGTAGCCCTTTACTTAGTGTTTGTTGACTGACTGACTGAATGACTGAAACCCTACTGTCTAATGCTGTTACTGACTACTGAATAATCTGGGTTGATAGTGCTTTGTCAACTTCTCATTTGCAGCCTTTACAGTCACTTGCAAAAGAGGCAAAAGAAGGTGAAAGAGATGAAGGTGGAGGTTATTTCTCCATTTGTCAGATGAAAAAATTGCTCCTCCTTGGGGCCCAGAAGGTAGCAAAGATCTCTAAGGAGCAGAGCTCCAAAAAGATCGAACTGAAAACTTTCTTCTGCTCCAGATGGTGTTACAGCCCCTCTTCCTGCCTCAGAGCACCTCTTGAAAAATTCCTTCCAAATCCAAGAAATTTCCTGTGAAGGGGAGAACCCTTCTCACTCCGCTGAAGCCAAGGAAGTGCTTTATGAGTTCTGAATTTCATTCTTGCCTCCACCCTGCAGGTCTCTGTCCCTAGGATCTTGGAACAATGAGGACAGGTGGGAAATATCTGTTGGAAATACTAAAAATGTCACTGCTGAGTTGGAAAATCAGAAAGATTTTATTTTAAAAATACCTCTTTGATTTTCCTTTATTCAACAGCATTGAGGGCTTACTGCATGCCAGGCTTGTGCTAGGCTCTAAGGCCAAGGTGCAAATACAAATATGAGACTGTTTATGCCTTCATAGAGTTTATTGCCTGGGAAGCTATATGGCATAGAGTGCTCTAAGAATTTTGACTTTGGTAGATGTTGAAACACAAAACAAAAGCCCTAATCCAAGTCTGTCTTTAAAAAGCACCAAGCAGTTTTTTTCTATAAATGAGATTTCAGTATTATCCTCCCTCCTCTCTTTAGAGAAAATAATCTGAATAGAGATTTCAAAAATATTAAGTAAATACTCTACCTCACCCTCCTTAATTCTTGCAGAAAACTAGAAGTCAACTTCAAACACATTTTTAACACTTAATTTTTGTTTTTATTGAATTAAAGCAAGTATATAATCTAACAAGTTAAATAGCAATCAAAGGCATCCAAAATATATAAATAGATCACACACCTCAACAAACAAAAAGCAAATAATCCAATTAAAAAATGGTCAGAGGAGCTGAAAAGACAGTTCTCCAGAGAAGAAATTCAGATGGCCAACAAACACATGAAAAGATGCTCCACATCACTAGTCATCAGAGAAATGCAAATTAAAACCACAATGAGATATCACCTCACACCAGTAAGGATCGCCACCATTCAAAAAACAAACAACAACAAATGTTGGCGAGGTTGTGGAGAAAGGGGAACCCACCTACACTGCTGATGGGAATGTAAACTAGTTCAACCATTGTGGAAAGCAGTATGGAGGTTCCTCAAAAAACTCAAAGTAGAAATACCATTTGACCCAGGAATTCCACTTCTAGGAATTTACCCGAAGAATGCAGCAGCCCAGTTTGAAAAAGACAGATGCACCCCTATGTTTATTGCAGCACTGTTTACAATAGCCAAGAAATGGAAGCAACCTGAGTGTCTATCAGTAGATGAATGGATAAAGAAGATGTGGTACATATACACAATAGAATATTATTCATCCATAAGAAGAAAACAAGTCCTACCATTTGCAGCAACATGGATGGAGCTATAGGGTATTATGCTCAGTGAAATAAGCTAGGTGGTGAAAGACAAGTATCAAATGATTTCACTCATATGTGGAGTATAAGAACAAAGAAAGAAACTGAAGGAACCAAACAGCAGCAGAATCACAGAACCCAAGAATGGACTAACAGTTACCAAAGGGAAAGGACCTGGGGAGGATGGGTGGAAAGGGAGGGATAAGGGGGGGGAATAAAGAAAGGGGGCGTTACGATTAGCATGTATAGTGTGGGGGGCATGGGGAGGGCTGTGCAACACAGAAAAGACAAGTAGTGATTTTACAGCATCTTACTATGCTGATGGACAGTGACTGTAATGGGGTTTGTGGGGGGGACTTGGTGATGGGGGGAGTCTAGTAAACATAATGTTCTTCATGTAATTGTAGATTAAGATACCAAAAAAAAATAGCAATCAAAGGCCTTTGATGGTGTCTTGTTCTTCTCTCAAACCTGTTTTGTGCCTAGCTGCATCTAATTTCAATTCATATTCATCTTTTGTGGAATACACTTTGGTCTTTCCATGCTTATATTCCTCTCTTGAAACAGTAATGTTTAACTTCCTATTGTGATAGATCATCATTTATCTCTAAAATACCTATTTCTTCCCATCCCACCCAAATTACCAGCTTCTGGTTAAATTCATTTTTAAGCTTTACATTATTATTACTATATATTTATGTATTTTCCTCTGATAAGCTACTACTGTGCCATGACAATTCCTTTTTTGTGTGTGTGCAACTTTTTAGTTTCCCTGGAGTTGATGTCTTCTTTTTCATTTGCTCAGCTTTCTTTGTATCTGTGGCTAAATCTTCCTGTGTTTTCCAAAAACACTGTGGTACAAGTTTTCACAAGGTCAAACTTATCAGGAACTCTGTCACTGCTTTGGGTTGTTGTGTTCTTCCTCTCCTGGTGGTCTGTCTCCCAGAGCCCTCTGTCCTCCAGCTCCACTCTGGGCTGATTGTGTTCCATGTCTGCGGTGCACACATGGTCCTGACATTTCTCTGCACTGTTTTCCTTAGAATTTCCTCCATCCCTATCCTGTATTGAATCCTCTGCTTCCAGGATTCCGTATCTTCCTTTTTCTGGGTTTATTTATTTGTTTTAGTTGAGGTAAATTTTGGGGGAAACTTTGCATATGAGAAACGAAGATGATTATTTTAGCAATGAGAAGCTAAATGTGCACTTGGACAATGAAATAGTTGAGTCAGAGCTGTGTTTTTTTAGACTTTCATTTTGGGGGGTTGAGGAAGAGGGGAATGGGAGGTTGCATTCTCCAGGTTCAGCCTGTGCTACTTACCTGGAAGCTGGGAAGGTAGCTCAGTGTTATGAAAATGAGGCGTGATGTTTTGGCAGGAGGATAAAGTCAGGGGAAAGTTCTGAGTTCCTTAGGAGTTCTTATAAGTGAGCTGAGGGGCTGCATCCTGAGTTTGGGAGACTTGGAACAACGGAGGGATGGCTTTGGGTCCAGGGTGGTGCTGAGCCGCTTGGAAGGCCTGCTGGACTCAGCTCAAAAAAGTGGCCAGCATCACCCTGGTTCATGGAGAATTGAGTGCACAGGAAAGTGACATCCTTGGCAGGGACACACGCAAGCATATCAACAGAGAAGCTCCTGTAGGCAATGTTCAGGGCTGTGGGCTTCACCTGGGAGGCAGAGGGAAAAATGTGCAGCCTGGAGAGCCCTTGGCTGTTAGTGACTGGGTTGTTTTTAAGCCCATGTGTAGTACCTCTTTGGGAGATCCTGGAAATATGAGGGGGTGGGGTGGATTTTGCAGGATGCAACAGGGTAAAGTGATCTCTTTTTAAAGACAAAAAAACTCCATGGACCCTAACCCCCAGTATTAACTTCAACTTTTAATTATAATGTAACTTAGTGTGTGCAGGTATAAAATCCTTAGGCTTGTATCTCTGATGCAACTATAAAACAAAATAAAAACAATTAAATTCAAACAGCCACAAAATAAAAATTCGAATTCATAACATTAAGCAAATGTAAAAGAAGCTATTTTTTTTTTACTGAAACTAAGTAAGTTACTTGTGCCATGAATGTGGCCCTGACTGCCCCATTGCAGGTTCTTTGGGTTTGTTGTACTGTGAGCCATGTGGTGACTACATTCATCCAACATTTTTTATCTTGAATGAAGTGTAAGCATTCCTTCATATAGCAGGCCATGCCACCAACTGGTCCAAGTGCAGGGTTTATTTATAAAATCTACATTGTTTTTTGCCTTATCTCAAGATTAAAGTAGCACTACTTGATAATAAATGCAAATGAAGATTCTACATATCAGGTCTCTGATATTTATGATATCAGGTCACCTAAGTGAACCAATATGCTTATATGAATGTGTTTAAGATTATTATTGACATGAAAATACAGCATTTAAAAATGTTCATAAATTCCTACATGTATGTTCTTCATATTTTGAATTAAGCACTTAAAAACTTAAGAAGACTTTTCTAAATAACTTAGAAGAAAATGGAGATTACAGACTATTTATAAATTAATAAAGGGGAGACAGTATATATTAAAATCCATTGGTGATAGTCAAACTTGTGCGCAGAAGAAATTTCATAGCCTTAAATATGCCATTAGAGGGAATCTGAGGTAGGGTGGTGTAGGGAGACAATTAAAAGGTTACTGCAGGATGTAGGCAGGAAAGGATGGTGGCTTGGTGGAGGTACTGGCAGAAGAAGAAAAGCAGATATACAAAGGTACAGAAATAATCAGTCATTGGCTAAAATTATCATATTCCTCATAAGCTTTCCCAATTAATCATAGCCTCATGCTAACACTGAATGCTTGGGGTGATCATTTAGCTGGTAGATACCCTGGTCTGACGTGACTTATTTAGGAATATCTAATCTCAGTAGAACAATTTTTTAGTACAGAAGAAACAGAAAACATTGTCAGAGACTGTTCCTCCATTGCTCCTGCCAGAGAGCATCTAGGCTAGCTGGTTTTACCCATGAATTTTACCTATCAAGAAACCCAGTTTTCTAGTTATATAAGTAGTTCCAGAACACAGAATAAATGGAGGTCATCCCAATTCTAGTCACTTAATTATGTTACCAAAGCCTGATAAAAAAGGGGTGAGCACACAAAATATAGTTATTCTTACACATGAAAGAAAATGCAGTGTTCTCAATGAAATGTCAGTAAATTGTGTATTACAAAAATGCACCATTGAGTAGCTTATTCCTAGAATTCAGGGTAGCATTATTAGAGTTACTAGCTCCATTTTATAGACAATGAAATTGGGGCTTATAAAGGTTAAGTGACATACTCAGGTGAAATTGCAAAGTGACTGACTCAGAACTTGTCTCCAGGTCTGCTTGACTCCAAAGTCATTCTCTTCCTCTGAGGAGGGCAAGTGAGATGGGAACTTGTAGTGAAAGCTGCAATAAAATTCCTCAGTATACCCTGATACCCTCCCATCTCCCGCACACATCCAGCCCTGATCTCAGAAGGTATCTTTCCAAGTCAAGCGACAGGTTTTGATTTCCTTTTTCTTTTAGTTATCCACTTTCTCCCTTTTCCCTTACTCCTGTCGCCCTCTTTGCCTTTCCCCTCATCAATATTGTGGAGACAAAAGCGCCATCTATTGGTCACCTTGTATGCACCTGATTTGAACAGGAAATTAGTGAAATGAAGCCAGGATCCACTTTGGATGCTATTTTGGGCTGGGGGTGGCTTCTGGTGGCTAAAAGGCACTTGCTCCAGCGGGGAACCCAATTGCTTGATTCTGCAGTTCCCACCTCCCCTGGGAAGCCCTCCCAGATCTTCTGTCCTCCCTCATTCTGGGTAGCCCTTGGTAGCTGCCCCACTGTAGAGGGGGTGGTAGGTGGTCCTGGCTGCAGAGAATTCTTCTACTCTACTAAAAGGGAAATAGAGGAAAGTCTAGGCAAACCCTCAGGGAAGGCCTTTCTTTTCTCTTTCATAGCAATTCACAATTCTCTCTAGGTTCTGTGATTGTACGCCCCTCCCCAGCAGAGGATGCAGAAGAGTCAGACACTGCCCCTGCTCAGAGGGGTCAAATGTCCTTGAGTACAATATAGGGCAGAGAGCTGACAGATCACCTTGGTCACTCACAGGTTTGCACCTCTGCCTGAGCTCCACCTCAGTCTCCTCTGAAACAGGGAGAATGCATCCTGTCCTTTCTGCCTGGGTGGGATGGGCTTTGTAACTGCTAAAGCCACTGTGATGGCAGGTAAGGATAGTCTATTCTGCCTTGCTGGGGGCTGCCCAGGACAGGGCCTGTGTCTTCTCTGTCCATTGTCTCCCTTGCTAGCAGCCTGTCAGGGCTCAGCATGCTGGGCTTTGGCCTAAGATAATATCCCTTATCTAGAGCCTGGACTTGGGCCTTCAGGGATGGAGAAGAATTAGAGATAAGAAGCCTGGACTCTGCCCTTGGGGGACACAGGCCCCACCTTCAGCATCAGACCATTTTTCTGAGTTGTTGAGAAAAGGCTTGGTGGACTTCATGATGGCTTCCTGGAGGAGGTGAGCTCTGATTTGGGGTTTTGAAGGAAGGTAGGTGGGCCCTGATAGTTCAGTTTTTATGAACCCTCCTTTCCTCCATCTTAATCCCTGTCCAGTCTGGCAAACTGAAAAAGTCTGACTACTTCCAAAGAAGTTTAGGTGAGACCAAGAGAGGAAGCAAAGATAGTGGGATGGGACAGAAGAGGAGGAGGGCAAGGTACAAAGTCTGGGGTCCCATCTAGCAGACTGCCTGGTGGGCTGCAGGCCAACCCTTAAGGCACCCACTAGGTACACCTATCATGTCCCTGCCTTCAGCACTTCAAACACCAACCATATTTTTAGGTTAGAGCCCATAGAAAGTGTTCAGCACATGGTGACAGTTTTATTACTCTGATGTTCTACACACTCCAACTTATTTATTGAAATGATTCCATTATTTCTTTTAAAGTATTTATTTAATTGTTGAATTAGATATAGTTGACATACATTATATTGGTTTCAGGTGTATAACACAGTGATTCGACAATTATTTACATTCCTAAGTGCCCACCACAGTAAGTATAGTTACCATTTGTCAACATACAAAGATATTACAATATTATAGACTATATTCCCCAAGCTGTACCTTCATCCTTGAGATTAATTGGAAGTTTACACCTCTTTATCCCCCTCTTCCATTTCATCTACTCCCCCATACCCCTCCCTGTGGCAATTACTTCTTTTCCATTTTTGTTCTGCATTTGCCCCAACAGACAATCAGTTATTGGTTTTCTGTTCATCCTACTTTTTGTTGCATAAACAAGCCAGAACAAATGTACATTTTCTCCTTCAAAAAACCCCACAACTGGAAGCATATTGTTTACATTGTTATGAATTTTGACTTTTTTTTTTCACTCAGCAATGTATCTTGGAGCTCTTTCCTGATCAGTATATCAAGAGCTTCTTTCTTTTGTTTTACACAGTATACTATTCCCTTATATAGATTTTCCTTTATTTGCTTAATGAACCTGGACTGATGGACACTTACTTACATTGTTTCTAAACATTTTGTTCTCAAGCCAGCTGCAATGATACCTTGTATATATATCATATGTGCAGGTCTATCTTCAGGAAAAATTCCTCGAAGTGTGTCTTCATACAGCCCTTGTCAGGACACCAAGCTCTCATGGTCACACTGGCTCTCTTGGCAGCTGTCCTCTTTCATTTCTTAAAGGGATCCTTTGTGACTGAAATCAAAATTTCATCACCATCTCAGCCTCACTGCCCTTCTCCCCAGTGGCCTTCCCATCCTGAGTCTTTCACTAGGGCCCTTCACTAGATATTTTGGCTTCTGGATCTGGGAAGCCTGGACACTTCCCACCTTTATCCTGGGTGGGATCTGGCTCTGGCTGTCAGTCTGCCCAGAGTGATGGGTCCTTCTTTCTAGTGCCCAGACCCTGGGCATCAGTGGTAGGTGTAGGGAGCTAGCTCTTTGGACCTCCACTGTTTAGGCCTCCAGATATCTACCCAAACACTGCAGTCTCCCCCTTTCTGCCCTCCCCCATCCAGGGCTCCATCTTTGTGAGAGCCCTGAAAGAGGCATGTATAAGACTAAGTAGGGTGGGGGCAGGGGCAAACTCCATGACTGAAAATAGCCTGGGGACCTCTGGGTTGGCCCAAACCTGTGGTATCAACTAGGGTACCATATGATGCCATATGGGGCTGATCTAAGCTGGGATGAGCATAAGCCTGGGGAGGGCAACACTGTGCAGAAATACGATTATTATTACTACTGTGAATGGCAACTGCTCACATTTGGAATTTTAGGTAGAGCACAGTAGTTAAGAGCCCTGATTCTAAAGCCAATATGTCTAGAACAGAAGTTGTACATGTCATGAGGAAACTGAAGACCTGGGAGGGGCAGGGGCATGTTTGGTTACAAAGGGAGTCAGGGCAGGACTGGGAGTAGATTTCATGCCTCTTGACTCAGTCTCCACTGGTCCTCTCCAGCTGCAAGAACAAACCTGGAGCAGTGACCTCCTGCCCACCTCCACCCAGTTCCCTCCTGTATTTTCTGTCATATGCCAAGTGCCGAAACTCCCCCAACCAGGCCTCATTCCTCAATATGAGGCTTCCCCACACTACCCGCTCCTCATTTGGGTGAAATGGAGAGGGCTCTGGGCTGGGAAATGGAAGAATTAGGATCTAGTTCCCCCTCTGCTACCATTGCTGTGTGACTTTGAGCAAATCAGTCCTCTCTCTGGATTTCAATTTCCCTATGTGGGAAATGAACTTAGAAAACCTACAGTCCAAGTTCTGGATAAATAACCTTAGTCTTTATTTACTGTGTGTAAGAAAAACAGCACACCCAGCATGCAATGCAAAAGGTGGGTGAGTGGATAGATTAAGGGTCTCTTTGAAGGAGCGCCCGGCAGAAAGCAGGTGGGCTGTACAGTGCGGTGTCCAAATGCTGGAGTCCAGGGTTCAGGCTTTAGGTTCTGAGGAGCTCAGAACAGAAAAGGAGAAGATGGGTTCTCCAGAAGGCTTCTTTCTAGAGGAGGTGGGATTGGGCAAGGATTTGAAGCATGGCCAAAGTCTGGGAAAGGAAGCAAGCATGCTGAAAGAGGAGTCTGCAGGTTATGAGTCTCTGCATGACTGTGGAAGGGGCAGGGTGGGGAACGGGGCGCTTTGGTCCCAGACCTGGTCGTACCGTTCCTGACTCTTTGCGTGGATGCGTGGCTCCTCCAGAGGTCGCTGTTCCCCGGGAATCCGTCACCAGCGTGGGCACAGCAAGGCCAGTCCTGCTGGCCCCTCGCTCTGCTTCTGTGGGGCTTACGCGGCTCCGAATCCGCTCAAGATGGCTCAGCTACCTGGGAATATTCCGCATCCACGCGGGGACTTATGGCTTCACTAGTTACACTCCTGGGGTCTCTGAAAGGCGAAACACTAAGGCGTGTATGTGTGTGAAGTGCGTAGGAGGACCGGGTCCGGATGGCTATGGCCTCTCCTCCCTCCTGCCCTGCTCCAGTTCAGGGCTGTGTCAGGGCGTCTGGTTCCGAGGTAATGCTGCTCCAGCAGGCGGCGTGCAGTCGGAAGGAAGGAGGCCGCCGCCTTAGTCCCCCTGGTTCTCCGCAGCGCCGCGCCCCTACGCTCTCCCCCCTCTCCTAGCCATAGTCCCAGGCTCGCACACTCACACATCCGCCTTCCCCTCCGGGGTCACGCTGCGGGCCAGGAGTGGGTTTGCAGTGCCCGACCAGGTCGCGCCGCTTCAGGCACGGCGGGAGAGTTGTGGGCCGGCCTGGCGAGCCTTCCAGGGCAGTTCCAGGCATAGATCGTGTGATGGGGAGAGGACTCGCGACAGCGCCGATCACACAGGGACATCCTGGGGCACACAGTCACCTTAGCCGGGAGGGGCAGACACACACACGCGGACAGAGCAACAGACCTTCGGACTCTAAAATCCAGGACCAACTTAGACAGTAGGGGCACTTAGACTTGAAGCTCAAGCTCTGCCACAGCTGGAACGTCCCCTACTCCCAGCTGAAAACCTCCCAAGAGTGTGGAGTCCACCCTACAGCGGTCGCTGCAAAGCCTGCGGCCCGGGTGCCGCGCAGTTGTCACTCCCTTGCGCCGGCAACCCTCTTCCCACGAACGAGAGTCGATAGGCTCCACAGCTCGTCCTAGTTTTAACCGCCGCGCCGTGCTGGGACCCTAGGGTGCTCAAGAGAGCCCCTCGCCACGTGGTCCCGGGGTGCGTGGGGGAGCTCGGAGGATGGGGACGGGGGCGGACCTTGGCTAGGCATAAAAGAAGGAAAGACATTTCCTCCGAGGGCACGCCGAGGTGTAGGAGGTAGTGCAGAAGCGCCCAACCCCTACCAGGCGCCAGGGCGTGGCCGATAGCCTGCAGGCGTGAAGGCGCAAACTGGAGACCCCATCATTCCTGTGATGGCAGAGGGGTCCGGCCTCTCCCTGAATGCTAACCCGGAGTCCCTGTCCCAGGTGTAGGAAGCCCTTGCAGGTCACGAACTGGAGTTTACCGCCTCCCACCAGGGTCAGGGGAGCCGATCGCTCTCGAGCAGACCAAGATCTGGGTGGAGAAAGGGGTCTGGAGATGTATTTACTGGCTGTAGCCAAACAACCATCTCTCCCCAAAGGTATGACCCTGTGGAGCTGCGGGAAGAGGGCGTGACTGTGCCGGTCTCGCCGCTTTCCCCGAGGCTGGCCTAGTTGGGGAGTAAGAAGTGTGGGGGCGTTGTGTCCCCTTCCCCGCTCGGGTCGCGCTTTGCAAGCCAGGCTAGGCTGCACGGAGGGGCGGCACTCCTCATTCGCAGAGCTCTAACTGTGGGAAGGCCATGTGAGATACAGGTCTCTGCTCAGCGTTCCAGCCTCTAGCTAGGTCTGTGCCACTCTTCACCAGTTTCGCGATTGACTTTATTTTTTCATAATGGTCTGAGAGCTCTCATTTCTCCAGCCGAGGAGAACAGCATGTCTAGAGGGACCATAAGGAGGAAAGGACGCCACTGAGCGCAACACATTGCAATAAACACCCAACAACTTCTCCTCGGTTGCCCGAACATTTTGGAGTAGACAACTCCCAAACAAGTGCTTCCAAACGCTTCCTCCCCGTCGTTTCTGGGCTGCTCAAGGGACGTGGACAAACAATAAGGCAGAGGAAGGAGGAGATCGGGCACTCCCAGTGACACTGTAACCAAGACCCATACAGCCTGTCACCTCCTGCTTCTTGGAGGCTGTAGGCATGGGTGCTGGAGCCCAGGCTTCTGAGAAACCACCCAGGTTCTTGCGAGGGCAGTGACAAACTCACCCTGGGTGGGACATGCAACAAGAGGACATCAAAGAGGCTAAGCCCACAGGTTGGAGCCATGGGAGAAGGTCAGAAAATTAAAGGAATCCTGAATGCCAGGGTCGCCCTTCTCCCAGCCCCCAGGGCATTACTCAAATCAAATTGGTCCAGAGTCTTGGGAGTGATGAGAGGCTCCTATAAACACCTTTCCTCAGGCAAGAGTAGAGCTTGGCCAGATACTAAACAGAGTTACTTGGATAAATAGAGGAGCTCTGAGCTGGGAGTCCAGACACCCGGGTCCAACCCATATGGGGCTGGGGGGACCTTCAAAACCCTGTTGCAAGTCACATGATCTCATGGGCCTCATTTTTCACTCTATAAAGGTGTGTGTGTGTGTACTTGGAGGGTTTGGATCACTCCTTAAGATTGTACTCCACCCCTGGTTTGCAAAATGGGGGCTGGGGTGCCTGTATCCTGGGTCTGAGCAGCAGGAAGTGTACAGCAGGGCCAGGCAGAGGCAGGGGCTGGCAGCTGCAGCTGTGGGGTAGACAGGCTTGCCTGGAACATTAGAACCAGCATGTTTGGGCAGAAAATGCCACAGCCGGTGTTACCTTGAAGTTGGGAAGGAGGCAGGAGCCTCGGGAACCAGGAAGGCACTAGCAAGGAAGGAAGTTACTGGTTCACATTTGCTATTTTAGAAATGAAGACATTCAGAAGGTGAGATGGAATAGGATAATGCCAATGCTGTTTTTCTCTCCATTTACTTAGACACTAGCAGAGCTAAGCTGGGTTGGAGCTAGTGTGTGGTAGATAGTGTGGGATGTCTGTGTGAGAGAGCACTCCATGTAGTAACAAGCAAACCTGGGGTATAAGTGGGGTTGCCAAATAGAATAAATCTGCTAAATCTGGCAACCCAAGGTATGTGAGTTCATCTGGACTCACGCAAGAAATTTTCTCCAAGGCATCCTCCCTTTTTTTCTGGAAGGCTCTATCACCCAGGAAATTCCAATTCCAGGGCTACTAGTCCCTGCCCAATTTCCTGCCCATGGTTTGAGGACTGGACCTCTTCCCATTTTCTCACAGTCTCTTTATGAAGACTGAGCACACCAGGTGGATTCCCTTGGTCTTAGGAGGGGCAGATGTGTGGATGGGTGGTGGTAGGGTAGATGTTTGGGCAGAGGACTTGCTCTCACAGGATATGAGCAGCCAGACCAGGTTCCTGCTCTTTCCTACTGCTCTTAGCCAGATGACTTGTGAGGATTGAGACTACCTCATGAGGATTCTGTGACGAGGGTTGCACCTGGCCCTGCTTTATCTTGCTGTAGGAGCCTAGGTGAGTTCCTTCCCTACTCTGGGCCTCTTTTGCCCCACCTGTGGAATCAGAGAGTTGTATTTACACTAGATTATGCCATAGATTGGAGGCTACTGTTAGATGAAAAGGATAATTTATCCACTCCCATTAACCCTGTTGAGATACAGCCTTCAGGGGCTGCAGATTCCTCCCACCTTGCTTCCAGAGCTTATCCCAGTAGGACCTAATTCAGCACAGTGACTGGTGAGGATTAGATGGCAGTGGTAGCCCAGTTGGGAGCTAGATCAGGGCTTGAGATCCAGGTGGGAGACTACACAACTCCAAACCCCTAATTTTCTCTGCAGAGTCTGCAAAGCGCTCTCAATACCTCTTCGTAAGTGGCCTAGAGTGATATGGTTACTTTTACATAGCAGTCATGAGGTAGGTGTTTTTAATTTCACTTTACAGAGAAAAAAAACAGAGGCACAAAGAGTTTACAGAACTTATCTAGGGTGACAGAGCCAGTAAATGGTGAAACCAGGACTGGGACCCTAGAAGCCTGATTCCTGGGTCCCTGCTCTTTCCTACGCAGAGCAGGAAACAGGCCTGGAAGAGGAAGTAACCTGCTGACTGACCGCTGAGCGCAGCTGGGTCTTAGGCCTCGCCTGCCCCGGCTTTGGCCACTGCGCGGCGCTGTCGGAGCAGCAGCCCGTCCAAGGGCTCGTTCTTGCCGAAGTCCAGTGGCCATCTATCCTGTCACCCCCTAAGGGTTGAGATGGGCCCAGTCCGAGCTGAAGCTACTTTCTGCTGGGTTCCTGGAGGAAGGCCAGGGGAGAAAGAGAGCTAATTGGATGGGCAGGAACTCGGCTGGCGAGAAAAAGGGCACACGATCAACCTCGTGTGCGCAGAATCCTGACATAAAAGCAACAACTGGTCCGGGGCTGAGGTCAGGGTTCTTTGAGGGAGGTCTCCGTGGGGGTCCCATTGCCTGTCTGTCGAGCCTACAAGTCTGACCAGAAAGGTTTGTGTGTGGAGGGGGGGGGGAGGTAGGTGGGAGGTTGGGGAGGTTGCACTCCTTCTGCAGCGCGACTGGGGGTGGGGGAAAGGAGGAAATGGAGCGAAGGATTCCAGACCCACCGACGCACAGACAAATGCAGGTTTCCACAGGCAACGGACACAGAGATTCGCCAAGGGCGAAGGAAACTAGAGTCACAGAGCCCGAGACAATCGGACACCGAGACAGAGAAAGTACCGGCACACTCAGAGGGACGGACAAGTCCGCGCTCCGGGCACCCGCCCAAGCGCGGCAGAGAAGCGGGCTACAGGCAGGCGGCTGCTCCCCGGGTCTCCTCGCACACACTCCCGTGTCTGGAGACCCGCGGTGGGTGCAGAAGGGGATGGGTGGGTGGCGGAGTCTCGGCCTTGGAGGGGAGGAGAGGGGTGCAGCCGGAATCTCTCCCCTCTCGGAGGCTAGAGGCTGAGAGCCAAGTTTGCTCCTCGCGATCACTCACGTGCGTCTCCCCTTAGGCCGGAAGGCTCTCGGGCCCCTGCGCGCCCAGCTTCGGCGGCGTTCGTCCGGGCGTCTCGGGCTCGTCTCTCAGGTTCCCGCTCGCGCTGCAGCTGGTTTTCTGCCTTGGTGGCCCGGGCGCTGCCTTGGAGAGATGATGGGTAGGGGATGTCGCTACTTCTCCTGGCCGGCTGGTGCCCACGTGAACCTTAACGTCCAGGGAATGAGTGCACTGAAGGCAGCAGCTCCAGGGAGCGGAAGGCTTTCGGGATCTGCGGGGAAGACAAGGACCAGCCTTCGGCCATTCGAGCGGAGCTCCCGCCGCGGCGGCTGTTAGTTCCCGCCGGGCCGCTCCGCGGAGGCACTCTTCCCGCCCCCTCCTGCCCCGCCCCACCCCGCGACCGGAGCTCCGCCCCGGGCTCGCGCTCTTCCGCCTTGGGCAGCCGCTAAGAGGGAGGGACTAATTCCCTTCCCCCGCCCCGGGGGCACTGGGGGGTCGAGACCCGCCGGGGTAAAGAGAGGCCTCGGCTCCTCGCGCCCGCGCCCCCGGCGTAGGCCCCAACTCGGGCTCCCGGGGCACCGGACAGAGCTGCCAGTCGTGTGCTCACTGAGAGGTGAGAGCCGCCGCGGTGAGCCACGAGGGGGCGCTGCGGAGCCAGGGGACACCCCTCCCCGCTCCCCTCGGTCTCCCGCCCCCTCCCTGCCCGCGCGCAAAACACACTCGCCGCCGAGGCAGCGCGGTGGAGCCCGAGCCGCGGCCGGAGCGGAGCCTGAGAACGGCGGCGGCGGCTGCGGCGGCACCATGACCCTGGGCAGCTGCTGCTGCGAGATCATGTCCTCTGAGAGCTCTCCGGCCGCGCTGTCCGAGGCCGACGCAGACATAGACGTGGTGGGCGGCGGCAGCGGTGGAGGGGAGCTCCCTGCCCGCTCCGGGCCCCGCGCCCCCCGGGACGTGCTCCCCCATGGCCCCGAACCTCCTCGGGAGGAAGCCGAGGCAGATGCAGCTGAGGATGAGGAGTCCGGCGGCTGCTCGGACGGCGAGCCCCGGACTCTAGCGCCCCGGGGGGCGGCGGCCGCAACGGGAAGCCCTGGGCCGGGCGCAGCGGCCGCCCGGGGCGCGGCGGGGCCCGGGCCGGGACCACCGTCGGGGGGCGCGGCGACGCGGAGCCCGCTGGTGAAGCCGCCCTACTCGTACATCGCGCTCATCACCATGGCCATCCTGCAGAGCCCCAAGAAGCGCCTGACGCTGAGCGAGATCTGCGAGTTCATCAGCGGCCGCTTCCCCTACTACCGGGAGAAGTTCCCCGCCTGGCAAAACAGCATCCGCCACAACCTCTCACTCAACGACTGTTTTGTCAAGATTCCCCGCGAGCCGGGCAACCCAGGCAAAGGCAACTACTGGACGCTGGACCCGGAGTCGGCCGACATGTTCGATAACGGCAGCTTCCTGCGGCGCCGCAAGCGCTTCAAGCGGCAGCCGCTACCACCGCCGCATCCACACACGCACCCTCACCCTGAGCTGCTGTTGCGTGGCGGGGCTGCGGCGGGAGACGCCGGCGCCTTCCTGCCAGGCTTCGCCGCTTACGGCGCATACGGCTACGGGTACGGGTTGGCTCTGCCGGCCTACGGCGCACCCCCGCCAGGCCCGGCGCCGCATCCTCATCCACACCCGCACGCCTTCGCTTTCGCCGCCGCCGCTCCTTGCCAGCTGTCTGTACCCCCAGGCCGTGCCGCTGCGCCTCCACCGGGACCTCCGACGGCCTCGGTGTTCGCGGGCGCAGCCTCAGCTCCCGCTCCTGCGCCTGCCCCGGGCACAGGGTCGGGCCCGGGCCCCGCAGGCCTGCCCGCCTTCCTGGGCGCAGAGCTGGGCTGCGCCAAAGCCTTTTACCCCGCGTCACTGAGCCCTCCCGCAGTCGGCACCGCGGCCGGTTTGTCCACCGCACTCTTGCGCCAGGGCCTCAAGACGGACGCGGGCGGTGGTGCGAGCGGCGGGGGCGCCGGGGCCGGGCAGAGGCCTTCTTTCTCTATAGACCACATCATGGGCCACGGTGGCGGCGGGGCAGCACCCCCCGGCGGAGGCGAGGGCTCCCCAGGATCGCCATTCGCGGCGGCGGCGGGTCCTGGGGGTCAAGCCCAGGTCTTGGCCATGCTGACTGCCCCGGCCCTGGCTCCAGTGGCCGGCCACATCCGCCTCTCACACCCCGGGGACGCGCTCCTGTCCTCAGGGCCTCCGTTTGCCGGCAAAGTTGCCGGTCTCAGTGGCTGCCACTTCTGACCGCGTTAGACTCAGGGCCAGTTAGGCCCGCACTCCTCAGCCTCTCCCGGGAGCTCCTGCGGTCCCAGCGGAACTCAGGGAGTCTATTTATGAAGAGTCTCCAGATCTTGAGTCGGCGCGTGTGACTTGGCACTTCAGGCTCCACGCTCAGTCTCGCTGATAGTTGGGCCGAAGCGGGCTCCATCGCTCAGGGAGAGGCTCGGGTCTACGCGACGAGTTCGCAAGCCACGATCCCATTCCAATTTGAGCAGTGAAAGGGGAAGGAGGGAGCCTTCGCTTTTCCCCAGCCTCTGCGCCTCTCGGCAGCCCGGGAAGAATGCTTTACCGGAGAGATGCTTGCCCAGGCCCTTCGGATCCCGCCAGAAACCCCAACTGTGCAGAGAGGTCTCCCTTTCTGCCTCTCTCGCATTCTTTCCCCTACTTTGAGGTCCTGCTTGTCCAATATTATAATTTAAAGATATCTATTATCCGCTTTGTGCTTAGAAGAAAAATTCAACTTTCTTTCCTTGCTCTCAAGGGTCTTTGCATCTGCCTTGCTCTCCGAAGCCCAAAGCAGTGTCTACACAGGCAAAGCTGAATGCAGAGGTGAAGCGAGGGAGTCTCCACACTCTCTGCGGAAAGCTCGGATCCCACTCCACTGAGGAACAGCCTCCCTTTTCTGTGTTGGGGTGCTTTTGAAGGAACTTTTCCCCTTTCCCGTGGCCGGCTGGGTCCAGCCATCCAGGGCCAGCAGCCCTCTCAGCGTTCTGCTCTGTTCCAGGCCCTGGGATATTTATTGTAGCTAAAGGCAGTGAGGTTGGGGTGGCAGAGGTGGGTCTGGGTTAGGGACTGGAGAGGTGGGGATGGGGTGGGCGAAGGCACATCCTGTGGCAGGGGGTCCTGTACTTGTGTAAATATCCATACAGCGAGTGGGCTGCTATCTGCGTTCTCTGTCCACTGGGTGTGCATTAATTTAGACTTCTCCATGGGCCGGGAGACTCTGTGAAATCGTCCGATGGTTTGTGTGGAAGAAAAGAAAAACCTGTCTCCCCCCACTCCCTGTTGGTGTCATTTGAATAAATGTATGTGAATTCCAGCAGTCACCAGCTCTGTCTGCTTGCCTGCACTGCCCTTTCCTACTCCAGGCTCTTCCAGATTCCCACCCCACTCAGGTCCCAAGCAGAGGTGGAGTAAGGAAGGGCCTGGGCAGCCCAGGCAGGCAAAGGAGGACTGGGGCTTATCAGATACAGGAGACATCATGACCCTGGCCTTTGGCTGTTAATGGGGCCAGGACTCTGGGAAGCCTGTGACCTCTCCAACACTTTCATTTTTGCTCTGGTCCTCTGAAGGTATCTGCCTAGGGTTCCGCAGAGAGGTTTTGTTTCAGATGCACCTGGGGATTCTCATCTTCTAGTTTAGATTTTAGGGCGACCTGGACAGATCTAGATGTTCAGCGCTCATGGACACTGTACCCGATAAGTTCGATTTGAGTGTGTCTCTTGATGCATATTCTGTATGCCTTTTGTGTGGAGGGTTTATGGAGCCTGTGATTTGTGTTTGTGTTTGTTGGTGTGGTCACATAGCCTTGCTTTTTGTTTCTTTTTTCTTCCTTTTTTTTTTTTTTGCAGTGTTTATGTGTGTTGTATTTCAGGATATCTGTGTTATTTATTTCTACTTGTGTCCCTCTGCTTGTGATTTTCTGTCACTGTCTTTCTGATTGCCTAAGAGGAGAGAGGTTTCTTTTTTTGCCACTGTAGGGTCTTTGCATTTGCCTGTCCGCACCCCACCATTTGCCCCTTGGCAGATGGAACAGTCAGAGTGAAAGACTTGAATTGGGGACTGTGAACCCCCTCTCTCTTCCAGAGGTACATTATGAGCTAAAGGAGAGTCAGTGTCGTGCTATTCTGTTCAGGTAAACCTCCGCAACCTTTGAGTCATGCTCATAGCCAGAACCTATTGCCTGAATGCAAAGCCACTGGGTTGGCTGGAGTCTTGCATGCTCAAGCCTGGGACTCACAGTGGCTGGACTTGCAAATGTGTTGGGTGAGAGGTGATGCTTTGGATGAAACAAAGATGGTTCCTTAGCTCTTTTCTCTGTACATTCAATTGAGATCATAGGAGAGAAAGGAGAAATACAGAGGTGCAAAAAGCGGCAGTTCAACCTTCACAGGAAATAGACAAATGTTGAGGGCGAATGTTGGGAGACAAGTGACAGAGAAGGAAGGAGACAGGGTCAGAGAGCCAGACGTAGAGAACTTGAGAAGGACTGGCAGGGAGAAGCCATATTAGCTTCTTTAGCCAGGTTCCCAGGCATTAGCCTAGTAGGAAAGAAGCAGGAGGAAGGGAACAGTGTCCTGTAGGAAGAGCGTCAGTATCAGAATCAGGGTGGGAAGAACTAGCCAGGGCTGAGGAAGTGTGGTTGGGACTCCTAAGTCTCTTAGCTCCTTCCCTGGTAGAGGAAAGACAAGGTTTGAGATGCATATGATATTTACAGCCCCTCTGCCAGAGGTAAGGTCCCTCTCTTTCATCTTGTTGAGAGACTGGGAGTAGAAAAGCAATTGAATGCAGTGGGCCACCTTCCCACAATTTTATCAAATAGTCCAGGAGAAGTAAGGTTAGATTCAATGATAAAAAGAGGGAAATGGTTTCTGGCTGCTAGTTGACTTTTGATTCTGAGCTTGGTTTAATTTCTTTTCACTTAAGGAAGGTTTAACATGACTGTGCGTATCTGCCCTCAATAAAGCACTCTGTAGCTTATGTGATCTTATTTACCATGAATATGTCATTCCTAGATACTAGGTTTGAGCGTCAAATAAAAGATTTGTCAGTTGGCTTTTCCTCTCTAGAAGGGAGAAAATTAAGTCAGCTAGAATTAGTATCTCTTGGTGAGTAGATAGGTAAGATACTTCTATAAGTGCTACTCGCTGGAGAGGAAGCAGATCCTTCTGGATTCTCTACTGTGTCTTTGTGAAAGTGTGTGTGCATATGCGTGCATTTGTGTGAATTTATCAGAGTGTATTGGTGTCTATGTCTGGAACAGGAAAAGGCAGAAATAAGGTTGGGGAAGAGTGAAATGCATGCCTCCTGGGGGCTTCTAAGGAACTTGGTGCCCCAGACCCCAGTTTCCTTGTGGGTCAAGAAGGCCAGATCTAGGCCAGATGTAATTATGGATGAGGACTGGGGGCCAGAAAGAAGCCACTGATGCCCAACTAGCCTTGAAAAATACCAGAAAAAGAATTGTGAGATTTGCTCTGCTGAAGGCAGGGGAGAAGGGAGGGTGTTTGGAACTGGGGACACCTTTAGGTTGTGTGGTAATTAGGAGCTGGCAAGAACCCACCTGGGACCAGGACTGCAGGGAGGGGCAAAGAGAAGGGTAAAAGAATTGCAGATCTGTTCTGCAGAGCCCTCTGGCTTTTCTTCCCAGACCAGAGGGCCTCTGTAAGTGGCTCCCTCCCACACTGTGGGTGCATAGGTTGGGTGTTCAGAGTAAGGCGGCTTACTTGCGTGGACAGCCTCCTGGGAGTAAAAATAAGTCATCCCTTCTGGAGAGGCACCGGTGGGTTCCCTGGCCAGGTGGAGACAGCTGAGCCTCTGCCCCCGCAGGGCCCAACAATCGGTGACAATAATAAGAAAATATCCAGGGCACACCTTCGTCTCTCAAGGTGAGAAAAAAAAATGCTAAGAAATCGGACTAGGGTTCAGAGTGTTGCTGAGAGCGGGCAGTTTAAAGGGAAGAAAATTGGCGAATTTCACTGGTCAATTTTGCTTCATTTCGTTCAATTTCGTTCAATTTTATTCCTTTTCATCCGGCGCCGGGTAGGCCGGAGGCCACAAGGACGGGGAGGGGGTCTTTCCGGACAGAATTTCTCCCATCTTGCAAATTTACTTTCTATGGCTGAGAACGGCCTTGCTTCCCAAAATTTGACATAGGTCTTTCAGCCAACGCTCAGCGCAGACATTTTATTTCAGTTTATTAAAAGGGTATTTAGTTTGGGTGATGGAGGCACCTCGGCGAACCTCTCCCCACTTCTCTCTTGCAGCCCAATTAAAGTGGTTAATTCTTTTCACCGCCAATTCCGCCCCATCTTTCTCTCTCCTGGGGCTCCCCGGACCACCCAGGAGCGGGCGTTGAGGTGGGGGCGGACACTTCCCCTCCATATCCAATTTGTTCTCGCCGCAGCGGGCGCGTCTTCGTGGTTACAAAGCGCTTTCCCCCTGATGACTTTTTTCCCCTTTTCAAAAACACTTCTCTCTTCCCTTCAACTAGCAACCCTCCCCAGGCCCACCCCGCCTCCCTCTCCGCTCCGGTTTATTTAAACTTCGCCTCCTCCAGCGCCGCCGTAGCGCGCACTTAATGAAGTTGAAGGCTCGGTGAGCCCGGGTGAAGAGGGTTTGGAATCTGTTGAAAGGGGCGTTTTGTGACACTGATTGGGGCGGCGGTGGGGGCGGTCGCGGACCAGACAATGACCGATCAGGCGGGTTTTCCTCCGCATAGGGTCAGGCGAATAAAGGCGCCGACGCTGTTTAAACGAGGGACCCTGCAAAAGAAAGGGAGAAAAGATTTTTGAGTGTGGAGCGTGCCTCGTATAATTTCGAGCGGTGGGAGGAAGCAGCTCGCGTAGTGTCTTTACGGACCGGATTCGGAGTTTTAATTCAAACTCTGTGCATCCCGCCAAAGAGAAGAGAGGCGAGTTTGGGTTTGCGCCTAAATTATTCCGATATGAGGTTCAAAAGGTTGCCTAGACTGGAGCCTGGAGATGCGTGCAGGAGGACCTAGCAGGATGTGTGCAAGAGGACCTGGCAGGACCTAGCGTGTAACCCTAGCTCACATTTGTCCTTGGGGTTGGCGTCCTGAGATTTCTGGAGAAACGGTGAAAGAGAAGTAAAGGTGGGCAGAGGTCATACAGGATGACTCAGCCTTCTAAGCTTTTATTTTATCATGGTATTTGAGAGCAAAACAAAAGTTAATTGGACTTTTGTAGTGGAATTATTCTGTTTAGGGTCGGCATAGATAAGTGCCTACATAGAAAGCTGCAGGGAGGACAGAGGTGCCAGCTCTGGTTTCGGGAACGAATTTTTCCGCGAGCTAGTGGGCGCGGCGCGGGGCAGAGCGGGCACCGCTTCCTGTCGACCGGAGCCGCCGCGGGACCGGAGGCTGCGGCGGCTTCGGAGGCCCGGGGGTTTCGGACTCCCGCGGAAGAAAGGCGGTCTCCTCCCGCCGGCGTCCCCGAGCTGGACTGGGTGCCGACACCCTCGGGGTGGTTTCAACCCTCGCCCCCAGCTGAGTCCTGAGTCTCTGCGAGCGCTCTCTCTTCGCTCCAAACGGACTCCGAGGGCAAGTCGCTCGCTGGCTGCGCCTTCGCTTTTCTCCCTGTGGCAGAGGGGTCCGCACCAGGTGCCCTCTAAGCCGCGCCAGCCTACAAATCGTAATTTCTTTCTCGTGGAGGAGGTCGACAGGGTCCCGGTCTTCACCCTGTTCCTGCCCCTGTGCAGCTATTTGGAGATGCGCGGCTCCCGAGGGGCGCTCACCAGACCTGGCATACGTGGCTGCGGTGATGCGCTTAACTGCCGCAGCTGGGGTCCCGCGCACTCATCTCCGCAACGTTGGAAAATCGCCTCAGGCTGGTCTTACCTCCAGGGCTTTTCAGTCTACGCAGGCAGAAGTATCTTTGGAATCGCGATTGCACGGATCTCAGGACTGGAAAGGACGAAGTATTGGGGGAACAAAGCATTTAAATCGGTTCCCTCGATTCCTAAAATTCACCGCGGCCCTGAAAAGCATGTTTCAAGTGGTTTGTGTGGACACTGCCAAACTGTGTGTGTGTGGTGTGGTGGGGGGGCGGTGAGGGTACAGGAGTGGGGCTTATTGTCCAAGTTAATTCGCCACCAATTAGGGGGCCGTTGATTTGCGTACCCTTCCCCAGCAGGTGTCGGTGCTGGTAGGACTCCGTGACTTGGATGCAGCGTCCAATTCAGATGCAGATGTGCGGGGTCTGGCTGGACCACCTCCCCACCCCCATTCTGGTGCGAGTTTTCCCTTGGGCCGCCTCTTTTCCAGAGCCTGTGGGTTCGCGTCTCAACGGCGATTTCCACGCAAATGTCCTAATCTTTTGGGGCTAGTTCTCGCTTCCCCACGAGTCACCCCCGTCAG